TAATAATAATAATAATACTATAATAATAATATAATAATAATAATAATAATAATAATAATAATAATAATAATAATAATAATAATGGATAGACAGACAGACAGACAGACAGACAGACAGACAGACAGACAGACAGACAGACAGACAGACAGACAGACAGACAGACAGACAGACAGACAGACAGACAGACAGACAGACACAGAGTTAGACAGATAGATAGATAGCATTTGTATGGTGCAAATCCCCACTCAACAGCAAGCTCTATGTGCTTTACAATCTATACTATTACCCAACAGACCTGAGAGCATTCTGAAACAAACTCAACTTCATGGGAAGCATGCAGTGCAATAACAACACACACAACAAACAACTTTAACGATGATGATAGTACAAGAAATTTGAGGGCAAGCGAGGCAGGGGTAGGCCCAGAACAACATACTTAGGGAACCTAAACAAATGGGTAACAGGGAAAGACCAGGGAAACGTAGCTTTTCTGAGAGCATCCGAGCAAAGGAATAAATGGAAAATCATGATCGCCGATGTCTGTCGCAGATCTGGCACTGGATGATGATGATGATGATAGTACAAGAAAGTAAACACCATCACAAGTCTGTTGTATCTTGATCTAAGGAATTATCAAGAAACAAGAACTTTCACCCCCACCTACTCTCCCTGTGAACCAAACAAATATACATGCCACTCATTCTACCTGTAGTTGCATGATCCTGCTGGAAGGTCTCTCAAAGCGGGCGACACTGCTAGCGTACTCCTTGTCCTCTTTCACCACCGACACATGGACGGAGATGGGGACGTCTTTGCCGTACTCCATTTGCAGGATGGTAGCAAACACCTGGAACACCTGGTCCGGGCGAATGCGACGTGGCGCCAACACCATGTAGTACCTTAGGAGGAGGATCATGCACATGGTCTTTGTCACTAATTTCATTCTCGTCTATTTATTTAATCATGTTCTTTGTCACTTCATTCTCGTCTATTTATTTAATCATGTTCTTTGTCACTTAATTCGACCCCCCCCCCCCCCCAGGCGGTGCCACTGACTGAAGTGTCTCTAGGCCATTCCAAAAGGGGGGACATTTCTCGTTCTAGTGCACAGTAGAATGGTAAATGGGCTGATCTAACAATGTCATGCTCATAACTGTGCCTGAACTACAACGGGGAACTGCTGCTTTTTCTTTCCTAATCCTTGCTATCGTCATTTTCTTTTACTTCTTTAGTGTGTTTGTCACACTATTGTGAACCGCTATTTCTGGGGTGCCTTGATAGTCGAAGCAGACTTTGTGCTGTTGAAGCTAGAGAGGTGAGCCACCCCTTGGGGCTCATATGACCTTATGCAGTTGCAAGCGCCGTAAAACCTCTACTAAAACTTTTTTTAAACTCACTTAATTCTCGTATTTTTATTTAATCATGTTCTTTGTCACTTAATTCTCGTCTTTTTATTTAATCACTTGTATTTCTTTTTTTTAAAATGTGTACTCTTTGGGGAGGAAAGGCGGGGCGGGAGGGGGGGGGGGGGGGGTGCTAAAGGAAATACATTATCACAATTTCATATTGTTGGTTTTAGTTTGGAGGTGATGATGTTACTGATTACGATGATCTAGATAATGATGATCACGACAACTATAGCCATGTGTGTGAGTGTGTGTGTGCCCGCGCGCGCGCGCGCGTGTGTGTGTGTGTGTGTGTGTGTGTGTGTGTGAGTGAGGGTGCGCACACGTGGTGTGTGTGTGTGTATGTGTGTGTGTGTGTATGTGCGTGTGTCCATGTGTATGTGTGTGTGTGTGTGTGTGCGCGCACGTGTGTGTGAGTGAGTGCGCACGCGTGGTGTGTGTGTGTGTGTGTGTGTGTGTGTGTGTGTGTGTGTGTGTGTGTGTGTGTGTATGTGTATGTGCGTGTGTCCATGTGTGTGTGTATGTGCGTGTGTCCATGTGTGTGTGTGTGTATGTGCGTGTGTCCATGTGTGTGTGTGTGTATGTGCGTGTGTCCATGTGTGTGTATGTGCGTGTGTCCATGTGTGTGTGTGTGTGTATGTGCGTGTGTCCATGTGTGTGTGTGTGTGTGTGTGTGTGTGTGTGTGTGTGTGTGTGTGTGTGTGTGCGTGTGTGTCCATGTGTGTGTGTGTGTGAGTGCGCAAGCGTGGTGTATGTGTGTGTGTGTGTATGCGCGTGTGTCCATGTGTGTGTGAGTGCGCACGCGTGGTGTGTGTGTGTGTGTCCATGTGTATGTGGGTGTGTATGTGTGTGTGTGTGTGTGTGTGTGTGTGTGTGTGTCCATGTGTATGTGGGTGTAAGAGTGTGTATGTGTGTGCATGCTCGTAGTTTCAGTTGAATACATTGACTTTTTTTGGTAATACAAGTATAAAAGGGAAAAAAAAACGACAGGAACAACAAAGGGAGGGAGAGACAAGAGTGTGTGTGTGTGCGTGCGTGCGTGTGCGTGTGCGTGCGTGTGCGTGCGTGCGTGTGCGTGCGTGCACGCGCGGGTGTGTGCGTGTGCGTGCGTGTGCGTGCGTGCACGCGCGGATGTGTGTATGTGTGTATGCGTGTGTGGGCTCATGTAAAGTCAAGCAGATATATATAGGGCCTACAGATAAACCAACTGATCGATGTACAGTTTGACTCAAGCAGTAAGAAGACAGGCTGATAGATGGATAGTACGATGGATAAGTAGATTGACAGAAAGACAGAGGATAAACACACAGAAAGATAGTCAGACAGTCAGAAAGTCAGGAGACAGGCAGAAGATATGAACAGACAAACAGACTAGCGCACACACACACACACACACACGTACACACACGCACGCACAGACACACATACACACACGCACACAGACAGAGGGACACAGAGAGATAGACAGACATACAGACAGAGAGACGGTTTAACGGACAAACGAATGAAAGGACACACAGACAAATATACAGATGGATGGAAGGAGGGAGGGATGGATGGATGGACGGACGGGCGGACGGACGGACGGACGGATGGATGGAAGGAAGGATGGATGGAAGGATGGATGGATGGATGGATAGATGGATGGATGGATGGATGGATGGATGGATGGATGGATGGATGGATGGATCGATGTAGGAAGGGAGGGGCAAACGGAAGATCTGACATTTGGGTTGATTCCTGGGTGGATAGACGGGTGGCGGGACGGGTGAGGACGTAGTCGGATGAAGTGAATGAGTGAGTGCTGGGAGGAAGGATGGACGGAGAGAGGGGTGAATGTGCTGATAAACTGACGAATGGATGTATAGGTGGAATGAGGATCGGATCTTTTTGCCAGATCACCACTGCTATTTTCAGAGTTCACCAAGACGGCTATAATTTGCCAACTTCCTATATCCCAAAGAATCCATTTCCACACCTGTACTTCTCCTGTATCGTGCGGTTTTTCCCCTTAATGAACCTTTCCATCTCTCTATATGCACGTCTATGCAATAATATATACAAGCATCGCACAAAAGTGGTGACGAGTCATCATCTTGTGAAACAGAACACTTAACGGGGGAAAAACGTACACATAATTCAGAGGCCTATAAATTGTCATTTTCCTGATATCAGACTTTCCCCATAGTTTACCTCCATACATATTACTTGTAACAGACAAAAATGACTGATTTTTAATAAACAGGACAAATACATGGTGCTTTTTGAGTTGGTTCCCGCCAGAAATCAAAACCAGGAAATACGAAAAAGAGGTACTATTACTATCATTGTACGGCACACAAGGACAGACGCCATTGAGTTATAATTGTATTAGATACATCCTATAGAAGGCACACAAAAGGCATTGGATTTCAGCAATGTGTGATACACTCCATTAAAACAGTCACAAAGATCTGTACACAGAGAAGAAGACACACCGGGACATGCAACAACCATGTTGCTGCTGTAGACAAAACACTTACGGCGGTCTTCCCAGCTCGCATCCGGCCAGGTTGTCCACAAGACAATACTCATGGTCCAACTGGCATTCTCCTGATGTCAGAAACACAAAAAGAAATACCAAGCCTGAAACAAAATACGCCATTCTATCACGATATTGTAGACTTCGGACTTCGTTTATAAACAGTTTTTGAAGGCACTTAAGAAAGAAAATGGCTCCACACATTCAAACCCGGAAAAGCGTCGGTGAGCTTCCCTTCGCCATTTTCCTTCAGTGACCCCAATTGATAAGAGCAACACACTGCAATGACGAAGTTGGGAGCTCTTTATCAGTGATATTACAGTAAACCTGAAAAGTCAACACTACCGCTGACAATTTTAAAATTAACTCTGAAGCTCCTGTGTACACAAGGTGATGAGTATACCATGTCAATAATACTTCCCAAAAAGCGCCCAGAGCAATTGTAAAACAGAGGCACATGTATTTGAAAACAACTACCTTCTTACTCATATTACGAATGTTCAGACTCCTATACACACCAACGTGAGTGTTGATGATTTCAAACAGTCTATAGATCCATACACTTACCCGATGAATAGTTTTGGAGTTTGTTTTTGTTTTTTGTTTTTGTGTGTGTGTGTGTTTGGTTTTTTAAAAAAAATAATGCGACATAGATCAGACGTCTGCCAGTGGTTCTGGTGATAAACTTTGAAGTATTAAAGAATCTGAGAAAGGCTCAAAGAATGCAGGAGTGGGTATGTGGGAGGCGCAATACTAAGTTCCCTCGTGGGCGCACGTATCCAAAATGAAGTTTTACTCTCAAGTCTCACGACAATATACAGGACCCTGATCACAATGAGCAACAGTCAAAAGTTGGGTTTTTGACAAATGGAATGGTTCAAACCACAATGGTGGTTTCCTACACCAATTAAAGAAAAATAAGAAAACGAAAGATCGGCTTCTAAAGACAAATGACGACAAGTGCAAGTTCTGTACAATGTATTCTATTATAACTCCCTTGAAAAAAGTATAAGTGTTTTTTAAAAACACCGTACCTGTAAGTAACTGGCTTTTTAAAAGGTAAAAATAAAAACCTTGACCAACACGAGAACTTTATATATATCAGAAAAAATGTTCGATTTCCAAAGAAAACATACATTGTACAGTATCATATTTAAAAAATCAGTGCGACGTATTCTGAAGAGATAAAAAGGCCAATTTTTTTAAAAGGGGCCACTAATACCCCATCCCCTCCCCTTTTCTCCTCGACTTTCCTCTCCCGCGTATCTATCCCAAGCATTCTGCTCCACCTCTTCTCCAGCCAGCATCAACAAGGCCATGCGCCATGTACAGTTTGGGCGACATCCCCATCTCTTTTCTTTGGGGGATTCCAGTCCATGGCCTGTCTTGTGACATTTCTGGGATCCTGGTAGAGCGTGTGCCCGATCCCCTTCCATTACCCCCCTCTCTCTCTCTCATTCGTATTTCAAGAACTGACATGACTCATACTCATATAAAGCATTAATTTCTGAAAACTTTGATACTTCATACGGTACATCTTCGAGTATAAAAAGCAATTTTACGGGCCTGTAACTTTGTAAGGTTCATTTGGTTGCAAACTTGATCAGCACACTTAAGTCCAAAGACCCACCTGAAAAGGGGGCCTCTGTTCCCCAAGTAAGGCATCATGCTTCAACAACACACAATACAGGGAATCAATAATTCTGACAATGGAAACTATTTTGAGAACACCGTTACAAGGGAGACAAGAAAAATCAAACCTCTTTCAACTCTTTCGCATTCAAACGTTCTGAGCCACAGCGTCAAGTCTTTGCATTACAACAATAACTAAAAGCAGTGTATCTGTGTCGTCACAGGCAGGCCACTTGTGATCTAATACAAAAGTATAGTTTTCCGCCCCTTTCAAAACAGAAAGGTCCTAAAGAGGAACAACCTCCGATATAATGGACAAGAGCTCGAAAAAAATAAACTGCAAACGACACCTTTACTTCACCGGGGGAAGGACCCCCCCCCCCCCCCCCCACACACACACACATTCACCCACCCCTAAATCCCCACTCTTCCTTACCTTTCGTGAGTCCAAGGAGATCATCATTTGTGAGGCAGCGTGGTGGAATCAGGCTCTCGTCAAAATAATCAAAGTGAAGAAACGTGCATTTTTCCTCTGGTTTGTGAATTTTTATCAAATTTTTGTTTTTTGGCTCAGCACCTTTCATGCCCATTAAAGAACTCATTTCTGTTTTGATTTTTCTTTTAAAAATTGATTAAAGGCACATAAATGTAAATTTTCAGTCACCACGGACTCCTAAGCTAAGGAAATTAACTAATCTTTGGCGGCCATTTTCTCACTAATTTTACCTCTGAAAACAGGTGACCCCCACCTCCTTCATTCGCAAATATCTCGACTTGCATTCATGATAAATGGATATTTTTTTCTTCCAAATAAAGACAAGTGAACAATCTTTAAGATGATACCAATAACCCTACATGCCCAAAATTGACGAGAGCCTGATTCCACCACGCTGCCTCACATTTACTTTTCCCCGAAACAAGAACAATAGGCACGAGCTATGTGGTGCCCTCTTTGATCATACAGGATATCAACAGTAAAGGCACCGTATTTCTAATTACGCTCACTTTTTTCCAATCCATTCTGTTCAGACACGTCATATTGGAGTTATTTTGCTCGTTTTGTTTTGTTTTAGATTGCTTTTAAATATTTGGTCATAATGTAAATGAGTGCTGATCATTTCGCGGCGATTTGAAGGAATAATCACTGGGAGAATTAATGACTAACCTCAAATCTCTAAAACAAAAACAAAAAACCTCAACAACGACGACGACAACAACAACAACAACAACAACAACAACAACAACAACAACAACAACAACAACAACAACAACAACCCGTTTTGCACTGAGCCACCGACACAGCCATTTCCAAAGCCCAGTTTAAGGCTTACGGTAGGCCTACCAAAAATCCCCTGGGATCTTTTTTCCTCGTTTCCCCAGTTGCATTATTTTTTTAATCTTTCGAAAAAGTTCACCATCCTTTTTAAAATTTCAAGCAATCCAATGGCTCATACAGACCAAACGTTATCTGCGGCGCTCTTGGTCGTGCACAGGTTTCCACTTGTGTGGACAAACACGGCCGTTATCTTTGCTGGGTGCCATGGGGCACCAGGAGATAACACACGCCACACAGTACAGGAGTTTTCCAAATGATAAAATCAACTGAAGTGGCCCTCAGCTTGAGTCTCAACGGTAGCAGTGGAGCCAATTTCATGTGCGCAGATCGGTTTCAGGAGGAGTAATGTGCATTCTCTATACATCATTGCAGCGTATACAACAATCTTCAGTATGAGAATGTGTTCATACTTCTACCGTTTGTTTTGGTGACAAGTTTCGATGGATAAGCAGAGTAGAGATTAAAATAAATTACGTCAGTACTTGCTTGTCTTGTTTAAGTGACGTTGAACATTCAAATGACAAAATTTGGGATATCAGCAAATCGGTAGTCAAAACAATTGCAAATAATTCCTAGGTTCGTCGGAATAATGCAAAATATGTTTTAAGCTGGTTCTTATAGAGAAACGGCTGCCATCTGTCTGCCATTAGGGGACCGCCCCGGCCACTCGCCGAGCACAAAGCACAATTTAACCAATCTAGGTTCACTTGTAACATGATATGCTTGCTTTAAAGCGATTGGTTTCAAACGGACGACGATGACATGAAATGTCCAATAAGTTTCTATAGAATGCCTAACAACTACATAACATACTGCATTGTGCCCACACTGTTTTCCTCTTTGATTTGACCGTTTAATGACTTTTGCTTAACCCTTTAGCCCATGCAGTGACGCAGGTCTCTCGAAACTCGATACTCATCCGTGAGAAAAACGCTCACAAACGTTCTGTGAACACTTCCTCGATTCAACCAGACGCTCACAGACAGGTAAAAACTGTGACATGTCAAGCAAATCAACAGCTATATATATAGCCGTGGTTGAGTATTCATACTGAAGTGTATAAAGACATCGAGAGAGTCTCTACTTTTACATGAAACGATGGCAACAGTAGTGCTACAGTATGCTCTTTTAGCCCTTGATGTACAGACACATGATGCGGAATCTTATACTAGAACAGCAAAAGCAAACTTGTACGTGTGGTAAATGAGTTGTTCTTAATCGAAGATAACGACCATATCAATTTCAGCAACAAAAATTTTTTCATGAAAAGAAAATATAGAGGAAATGCAAATATAATATCTGTCCCCGTGGTTGTAAGCAAAATAAATTATGAAATTATGCAAACTCAGCCCAAAAATGTGAAATTATGCGATTCTGTTAATTTTAACAAAGAATAATGTAGGAAAATAATCAGAAATTATGCCCCAAAAAAATTAATATTGCTAAATTATGCGGGGTGCATAAAACCACGGGGACAGTAATATAAATGAATTTGAGTTGATGAGAGACACAACTATATCCAGATTAAGAAACATAATGGTATACTCACATGCCAAGTACTGGTACTTTCTTACGCCGAAATGAGAAAAAACAGTAGGTATGATGACAAAGAAAAAAAATTGAAGAGGTCAGAAGGCAGAAATTTTCGTGAAATTATCAGCATAATAATTCTTTGCGAGCGGAATTAGGGCTAGAGTTCTGACCCGAGGGTCAAATATACAAGCCAAGTGTTAATGTTTTTAAATGTCTCCATTTTTCCCTTTCAAAAGGCACGGTACGCGATTATTATTCGAAATCCAGCAGCGTCACCTTTAACTTTATGATCCTACATAAAAACTCACACCGCAAGTCACACTGATAATTATTTGGATTTGACTTGCTTCTATTGTGACAAATTCTACCGCAAGATGGATTTACAGCAGCGCAAGAAAGCTGCAATAGTGGGACAAAATCTCGAAGCCGGTGGCGCAAAAGCTTTAACACTTGTCTCATACACCTTCAGCTACAACAGTGGGCAACGGAGGTCAGAGAGAAGCATGGATACCTGGAAGATGCAAATTCCTGTAGAGATGACGCACCCGTCACAAACAACGTCAACAAGCTGGAACCTTCTAGAAAATG